GGAAGGAACAGGCTGTCAGGGCAGCGGGTGGGGGGACAGGGTGTCTGCCAGTGGGGGAGGAAGCAGGAGTGGGCTGAGGGCAGGATGTCTGGTGGAGGGGGCAGTGAGGGGAGGGGAATGCAGGGACTGGGCATGGGGACACTTGCACATTGTTGTGCCATGTCACAGGCACCAAGTAACACGGCTTCCTGCTGCTCCCATTTGCCAGAAGGAAGCCTCCAGGAAAGATTTGCAGGGGTAGCCTCCAGGAAGTGTTTCTTGGGGAGGGGGAAGAAAAGGGCAGCATGGAGCCATTTTTGGCTCCACTTGTTCCCCACATGCTGGATCCGGTGGGGAGGCTCAGGGCATTCTACCCTGGGCCCTGGCTCCCCCTGAAGGAAGCTGGCGTTCCAGTCTTGCAGGGGACTGGTAAGGCTTTTAGCACCAGTGCTGGTTCTCTGCTGTGGGGAGATCGGGGGGAAGGGAGCTGAGTTACGGCTCTTTTGGAGCCCCATCTGGCTCCCTAGTGAGCCATTTTTGGCTCATGAGCCATATGTTGCTGACCCCTGAGCAATGCTTCCCTTTATGCCAACTACAGACTGTAAACATGATCTCCAAATAGTCCCATATGGGAGTAATGATAGTGGGCAGAGACTCCTTCCCTCCCTCCCTCCCTCCCTCACTTCACTAGAGTAGGCCTGACTCCCTGCTACAAGAGCTTGGGGGATGGGGGGAAAGAGGGTAGCTGGTTAGTTTCTCAGACCTAGAATTACAGAGAACTTAAGGTTTATCTATATTACCTCAAATGGCAAATCCCTACAGTACTGAATAAACCTGTGAGCTCAGATTTCTTTGGGTTAGAGGCCTGAAGCTTACAGATCCAACAGATACACCAGGTACCAAGAAAGAAGGTATATCCAGTACCTTGTATGACCTACCACCCTTACCCCATTGCATGGCATTTACCCAGGATATGGAGTTGGGTCAAGATCACCTAAAATCCCCAAGAGTCTTATGGGAATCAAACACTTCCTCCTTTCCTCAGTTCCACGTCTGGCATCTTGGCCACGTCAAATGCCTAGCTCCTCAATCTTCTTTTAGAGTAGGGGCTCAGCAAGCCCGCCAACAGGGAGAGAGAATGGGGGCAGCTGCCCTGAGGCCCAGCCATTTAAAAGGGCTTGGAGCTCTTGACCACGGCTACTGCTGAGCCCTGGGCAATGCCGAAGGGCTCCTTAAGGGAGGCTAACCCCGTCCTCAGGCCCTTCCCTCTCCAATGCCCAGAGCCACTCCCCCTCCTTGCCCAGGGCCCCGGCAAAGTCTGTCGAAAGAGCTTAAAGTGCAGATAACCTACTCTACCCCATGTGTTTTGTAAAGGAGTCAGCGAAGGCTTGTCTGCATGCTTTCTGGAATAAGACAGGATGTGAATTCAAAGAGTAATAGTTATTATGCAATAGCTGCGTAGATTTATGGGACTGGTTTACACATGGACAACCAAAGAAATTACTCCAAATTAACAAAAACAGAGTAACTAATGCAGTTTCACTAATCCACTTAAAATACTGGTGTAAATGCTCTCACTGAGAATTACAATGGTCTTACTTCCTTTAGCTTAACTCACTTCCTGAATCCAAGAATTCTGCATAGTAATGTGTAACACATCCTGCTGCTTTTGACCAATCTGCTGGCCAGACAAGCACATAAGGCTGAAAAGCACCCTAGCTCTGGGAGATCAGCTTCACAAGCACTGACATGCCAGCAGCTGACAAGCTTCCCTGAATTTCCCAGCTAGCTGATTCTGACTCTGCTTTTGGCATTTTTATTCCGTTCCTCAAAATAAGAGGGGTGCTCAGATCACTACCCCCAACAACAGGCAGTCTCACTGGCAGGACCAATTGGAGACTGTCCTGGTCTGGGCCAATCACTACCCCCAGACAACAGGCAGTCTCACTGGCAGGACCAAAGAAGCTGGAGGAGGGATGGGAAAGTATTTGCATCTCCATCTATTAAAGTATTTCTGCCTACACAGTGTAAACCTGCTTGCCAGCTTTCATGCTGAGCACTTTTCCCCTAAGGGAATTTGGCAAAGACCTTGGTGTTTCTTGGTCTCTCCCTAGATGCGGCAACAGAGATCACATGTTCAGAGCGGATAGGAATACAGTGGGTATTGATGGGCTTGGGTTATTTTCAGTCTATTTATTGGTAAGTTATGGCTTTAGTTTTCAGTTTGTGACTTACTAGCAAATAGCCAAAGCTCCAATGCTGAGATTTCTCTCTAACCAATGAAGTTCTGGCAATGCCACGAGGTCAGAATCCTAACAAGAATTCATTGAAAACACGAGAGAAGTTTGGCAGCATGACCAACATGTGCTTACATGCAAGTAGTCATAGTCTTTAGGAGAAAAGCTTCAGACCATATCATCCCACAACTTTTTTTTTTAAAAGTAGGGAGCAGACCATTCATGGATCAATGCAAAGGCAGATTCTACCCACTCAGAACTCGACTTGACGTCTCCTAACATTCCTACATACACATCGCCTCTGCAGGAATGAGACAAATCGAGCATCTTTCTAGGCTGCAGGGCAAGTCTCCTGTGAACTCCTATGACGCCATTGTCCCTCTGCTGCACTGGGAACAAACCAAGTACATCCTTCCCTTCCAATGCAGGGCAAACATGATGCTGCGCTTATTTCCTAGCTGCACAAGGTTAAACCACAAATACAAGCTATAGAACACTGCAACAGTATCTCAGCATATAATGGGGCAGGGGAGCCTGGAGAAGGGTCAGAAAGCAAACATCTTTCAGATCCCCAAAAAAAGGTGGAGTGGGGGAGGAGGAAAACCAGCCCGACCTTACCTTGGTAGGAAGCCAAGTAGAGAGTGAGCAGCAGCACCCAGCTCTTCCACATGCTGTCCATGCTGTTTCTGGGTTAAAAATCCTTCTGTATCTGGAGTCGGAGCTAACTCCTCCAGGGCTTTATTCCCTGCTATGCGTCTCTAACACCAAGCAGCCAGTGAGGAGTGAGCTGACACCTACACAAGATAATTGCCACACCCATTCCCCTGCACATCATCGCAGTAATTACCAGTAGTTACATGTATACGGAGGAAGGAATGAGAAATGATGGCACCCACAAGAGAGCTATACCTGATGCTGTTCAGCACAATGGCCTCTTCCCCGATGGTGGGTGTCTGATGGGGGTTTATACAGGGCCTTCTCTGGGTTGCAATCAGTGGGGGTTCATACGTGGCAGCACACAGGCTTCCCTCACCTCACCCCAAACTATTTTCATTGCTGGGCATGGAGTACGGGGATTCTTGGTGGTAACATTATACTGTGCTTAGGGACAATCAAGTTGCTACTTACCAGATGACCAATAAAGAGTATTTTTTAAAAAGATCCTTCCCTCCCCCCCCGGCCCACCCACAAAAAAAAACCCTCCATGAAAACCCAGTTCAAATGTTTGAGACTAAGAATATCCCTCGGATCAGGACATATCCAGGTAAGAGACTGCAAGGGGACAGACATTTGAAATGCAAGTCTGGTTTGTAGACTAATATTGCCATGTCTCCAGCAGAGTCCACCCCTCCCCTGCCCGCAGAGCACAGTTGTGGCATTGTGCTACCTTAATGTTGCTTTGGTATTCTATGACAGAAGGGACACATTGGGCAATAATGGTTAAGCCAGTTAATCTGCTCAGTATGGAAGATCTGACTGGACCATGTGAGAGAATGGTCAGTGTGTGGAATCCCCTCAGTACTGGAGCCCAGAAGAAACGATAGCTCCTTTTGGCCCTGGAGAAGTCTTCCATCCTATTGTGAGTCATATATGTAGTAGCCCAATGTCTGTGACTCTGTAACGCTGTAGCGTTACGTCTTGCCTCTGGGGGGCACTGTTGCATCCCGTCATGGCGCCTGGCTGAGCGGTGCAGAAGTCAGCCAAGCGCCATGGCGGGAGGGGAAAGGGGGCAGGGCCCGGCCGTGTATGTCATCGCCCCCCTTCCCCTCCCGCCATGGCGCTCAGCTGAGTGCTGCGCCACTCAGCCGGGCTGCCGTGGGGGAGCAAGCGGCTGTTTGGGCTCTGCGCTCCCCATGCAGGAGGAGGAGAAGAGAAAGAGAGAGTGAGAGGCAGGAGGAGGAGAAGAGAGAATGAGAGGCGGAAGAGGGAGGAGAAGAGAAAGAGAGTGAGAGGCAGGAGTGGGAGAAGAGAAAGAGAGACGGAGAGAGAGGCAGGAGACGGCAGAGAGCTGAGAGAGAGTGGGGGGAAGGCAATAGGAGGAGGGGAGAGAGACAGAGACGGAGCGAGAGACCGGAGGCTCAGGAGAGAAGACCTAGATAGAAAGGGAGATACAGATTAACAATTTGAGATCCCAAGAATATTATTTATGCCAATTAAATTCCAGTAAGAATTTTGAATACTTCCCATACAAAATTTGGCCTCAGTTTTTGTCCTTCCTCTCCCTACATCTCTCAAGCTAAATTAAGACAAATTAAGATAGCTACCCCTTTACTGGTACACATCAATTGCTGTGCCAGGTCTCCTCTTGGAAGTATTTTCTATCACCGGGGGTATATCTAGACTACGGAGTATTTTTTTTAATGGCTTTTTTTTAAAAAAACTTCACCTGCATCTAGAATGCCGTCGCATTCTTTCGAAATTATATCGAAAGAACACGGCGGTTCATTTGATATTGGTAAACCTACTTTTACAAGGAAGAACGCCTTTTTTTGAAAGAGCTCTTTCGAAAAAAGGTGTTCTTGAATGCAAACTGGACTTTTTCGAAAGAGAGCTCTGTCAAAAAAGCGGATCGCTTTTTTCAAAAGTCTTGTGGGTGTCTAGACGATCTCTTTCAAAAAAGGCTTGTAGTCTAGACGTACCCTGGGAGATGTGAGAGAATAGGAAGCACCAAGCCCCTGCTCACTTGAATAGTTATACTACCTATGGCTGTGTGATCTTTCTATATTGCCACATGGCACTTCAGCAAGAAAGGTGTGGGAGTTGCATAGCTCTCAATCCTTTGTTGTGCAAGCATAAATTGCTTAAATAACCAGCCTCAGTGGCTTCAAGGTCTAAGGTATCGGTTAGGTAATCACTTGAAATCAAGTCCTCACTGAATTTCACCACTCAAGTGTATAAATTCCATAGGCTGTGTGTTCCAGGTAAAGTTATAAGAAAACCTTGATCTCTAAACCAGGGGTCTCCAAACTACGGCCCGCGGGCCGGATGCGGCCAGCGAGACCCTCTCATCCGGCCTGTGGAGACCTTTTTGTCTGGCCCCGCCTTCTTCCGCGTGCCGGTGTGACGAGGCGACCCCCGCCCGTCCCTGGGGCGCCACCGCACTGGCCCTTCTTGCCGCGGGGGGGGGGGCCCTGTCAGGGGTGTGCGGCGTGTACTCACGCCGCGCCGGGGCAGGAGAAGCGGGCCGCTCCGCTGACAAGCGGCCGCGCGGCGGCAAACGGCGCAGGGGGTGGGGGTTAGCACGGGCGGCGTCCCCCCGCCCAGACTGACAGGGCAGCCGGCCAATCAGGGGGCAGGATGGGCGGTGGTGGTAACGCCCGCCCGGCGACGTGCGGGGGAACGTGAACCCCGGCGGGAACTTTAAAAAGGTGACCCCTTCCGCCCGGGGGGGGGGGAAGGAGTGAGCGGTGGCAAGCAGGAGGGGAGGACAGCGTGCAGAGGAAGGGGAGAGCAGGGGGAAAAGCCCCCCCCCCCTGAATCTCAGGTCACTGTTGATGTTAGGGACAACAAATCTAAAGCCAGAAATGTCTGCTATTTTGGCATCCAGGAAACAATTTCACCATTCACACTAATACAGGTGTTCATGTGTAGTGTATCAATGTGTTATTAAATAATAACTGAATAAAATATTAAATAAATAATTTAAAAAAACATCCATGTTTTGATTGTTTTTTATTTGGACCTCAAGTGTGTAGTCGGCCCCCGAACTGCTGTTTGATAGTTAATGCGGCCCTCGGGCAGAAAAGTTTGGAGACCCCTGCTCTAAACCATGGCACCACTTAGATATGTCAATGTGTATTTTCCTTCTAGTAAGGATGGAAAACCCATCAAGAATGTCAAGGCTGTTCCATATTTCAACAGTTTTGGCTCATGCTAGAGATCCTGTTGGAAGACATGTAGTCCCCTTACTAAAGGGGCCTCTGTTTTTTCCCTGGAAAGATCCTGTGTGCTGCAATCCAGACTACAATTCCCATGAGCCCTTCGGAAAAACAGGAAGGAAGGACTCTTGTGTGGGAGATGACTGCCTCTCCATGTGCATGAAGAAAAGAGCCTGCTGCTAGCAGTCTGGGACTCTGCCTTGGAGTTTGGAACCGAAGGGGGAGCCAGGCTGCTGCCAAGGAGTTTGATCCAGTCCAGGGGCTGTTGAGTGCAGCTACAGACCGGGACTAGATGCCTGTTGGAACTGGGATTTAGCAGGCTGCTTTCAATAGGCACAGCATGAGGCAGTAAGTTTTTGGGCCTTGTTGGGAAAGTGCTGCCTGGGACAGAGCTGCTGTCTAGCCTGGACAGAATCTCCATTACAGCTGCAACAACAGCGCGCCAACGCAAGCAAGAGTCTGGGACTGAGAGTCCAGGGGTGTGCACACTCTGGGGTGGGATCAATAGTCAGTACAAATGTTAGAAATATAAGTCCCAATTATTGTGTGCACTTTGTTAATGCTATTCAATGTTAATCTGTTAACCCGTTTATTTAAGTAAAGATTGTTTATTTTAAAGTATTCTATTAGACGTATATGATTTGTAGTTGTTCTGGAATTAGATCCTGATTTATGTTGGAATGAGGATGTTCCTGGAGGCTCTCAAGGCACCAGTGAGTGTGTACAAGGCCAGTCAGGTGGAGGCACCACCATTTTACATTCATTACAGCAAGAGACTGCAGCAAGGGGGTGGATAGGGCTTTCCCCAACTAAATGCCATCACCACTGGGGTGCTCAGGATCTCTTTTGGGTTAAAACATCAGGCGCCCAGGCACACCTGTGAGTGTGACCTGCTCCCCAGTAATCCGGGGAGGAAAAAGGGGGTTACAGACATTTAACCCTTAGGGGCATACGGCAAGATCAGATCTCTAAATTCAAGACCTTCTGGGAACTTCCAGAGGAACATGCACAGTATTTGCATCATCAACAGACCAAAGCTTGAAGCCTTTTACTAGAAGTACTATATACTAAGAAAGCAAAAAGCACAAAGATGTCAAGTTTTCAGTAAGTCTTTATTGTTAATTACAGAAGCTTTAGTGCAAAAAAATCAAGACAATGTTCAGAAAGCAACTGCATGTTTTTCTCCTCCAGTCTAGAGTAAGACAATGCTATCATTCTACAGAAGAAGAGGAAAAACTAAGTTCTTAATACTAGAATTTAAACACTACACAAAACAGCTCCAAATTCACCTTGTCCCAAATGTGACTGTTAAATTGTTTGCTTCTATAAAAACAAGACAATTAAACGTTGATCCAGAGAAAAACAGTCATAATAGAAAGGATGCCACCTCATTTAAAAGATTTAAGGTTGCAGTATAGAGTGCAGTATCACACATCCTAAATTCTATAGCAGAGACGCTACTGTTTAAGGAGAGACCACTGTTTCCGCAAAGCATCTTGCCTGCCCACCCCAATGCTGGGCAGAGATACTCCACATAAAACAGAAGCCACTGCATAAGCCTGCGATCACAGAGAAAAACTGCAGATGCTTAGAATTTTACAGCTTTTTTGATAAACAAAAATTCTCAGAGTTCTATACAGAACCAAACAAAAATACACAAAATCACTGATCTCAATCAACTAGGAAGTACAACTACAATAAAGAAACAGTGCAGAAAGATGCAACTGAGTGGTTTAAGTTAAATAATTAGTTTGCTTGTTCCTGAAGTGTGCTGCTAGAACTACTCCCACTCTCCTCCCCCCACTCCATCCTCCCATACCACTTCCCACAAAGAATGCTCACACAGAGAAGCAACCTTTCACTGGCACCTCTCTGAATAAGTTGAA